AGAACCACTAGACTGAGGAACAGCTTCTACCCTGAGGCTGTTAGACTCATGAATCTCTAACTAGAATAATCACTGTGAAAAACCATATCATGTTGCTGCTGATCTGTTTCATGTTGCTGCTGATCTGTTTCATTGTTGATGTGTTCATGCGTGCACATCTGCTCACAGACTCATGTTCATGTTTGTGCTGATGTTCAATGTTTTATGTTATGAGTGCTTAGTGTATATTTAGTTGATGTTTTTCTTAGTTCATATCTTAGATGTTATTACTGTTTTTCTTATACATTTTATTGTTGGATGTAACTGGGACCCTGTGTACATAATTTCGCTCCACCACATGTACCACATGAGGTGCGAATGACAATAAAGAAACTCTGACTCTGACTCTGATATCAATATCGAATTGTTGTCCAGCCTTACTTAGTATGTATTTTTATATAGAAAAACAGAATACAAATATAGTTTATTGCTTTTTTAAAATTTGAATACTTACAAAATGTTACATGTTAAAAAAAGAGTTAAACATTTTAAGAACCATTAGGCTCAGTTTGAATTGGAGGGGCTGTAGTAGCTCGGGGTTCAGTGCCAAGGTCTCATAATCCTGAGGCTGCAGGTTTAAGCCCCGGTTTTGATGGAACCAAAATGTCATATCTAACAAAACTTGTTTTACAAAGTTGACACTGAGGTCAGATTCAAAACACCACAAAATCTTTGTTGCCAAATTTAACAAAAGCATTTGTCAATTTAAAACTTATTAGGATACTTCAAACTCCAATATTTGTGATAATCCAGCGCAGCTAAAGAATGCTTGACCCCGTTTAGTTTTGTAAATGAGCTGTTGGTCTTCTCACACAGCACAATATATGCATTTGGTGCTTTATGAAGTGGGGGGGGGGGGGGGGGGGGACCCACGAGTCGGCAGCACCGCAATGTTGAAGAGATGAAAAATAAAATAATTTCTGTTTCAAAAGCAGTTTGTCTCCTCGGTTCTCAATCACATGCGACGATTAAATATGCCATGCTGATTAGGAAAAGCTGACAGCAAATCAACACCTCCTGTCTCAACTTCTTAAATGTTTTCAACAAAAATATTAGATTTAAATATGATCCTTTGTTTTTATTTTATGAGATATTTTTGGAAATGGGAGTTAAAACTGTTTGTCTCAGGGTGAGGAGCTGCAGCTCGTCAGGGAGGCTCTGCGCAGTCTGAGGGACAGTTTCTCGGGTCACGACCCCCAGCATCACACCCTGGACACCCTGGAACAGGGCGTGGCCAGTCTCATGGACCGACTGCACTCCTTGGACATCCAGCGGAGGCAGGACAGAGGGGTACGCGCTCCCTGACGCATTATCTCTGGAGAATTTTGAAAAAGTTGTAGCACGTCTGTCACTTGAGAAATGATGACTCAGCTGTTTACTATGAGTAACTGGCTGTTCTTCCAGCAGGAATTTAAATCACCGGGACGCAGAGCCAACTTAACAGACCGTGACTCCTGGCCGCCCAGCTCTAGTGAGACACACAAAACTTTTGTTTTATTTACTGTTTGTCATCCCCTGAAAAATCTTAATTTGATTTGTCAAATCAAATGATGCCATTGCTGTGTGTGGAGGAGAATGGCGAAGAGGGCAGCACTGGTTCTGCTACTGATCGTCAACTCCAGCGTCTGCTGCTTTTGTTCTTTCCAGAAATGGCACACTCGCACAGCAGTCCGGGATTAGACGCTGCCGTCTCCACTAAAGTGCTTTACTTCACAGATCGCTCACTCACCCCGTTTCTGATTAACATCCCAAAAAGGTGAAAACAAAATGACTTAATTGTGGCTTTACGTAGCTGTGTTTATTCCTTCTCAGCAGGGTGCATGTGTTTTAAGTAAACCGCTGTCTGAGTTAGTGGATGAAGCATGAGCAGAGCTTTAAAGCAGGTCCTTCAGCAGTGTTTATCCTAGTAAAGCTTAATGCATGTGTGGGTGTTTGGATGCATAGATTGTGACAGTGTGTTCTTATAGGCTGGGGGAAGTGACACTGCGAGACTTCAAGGCTGCTGTAGACAGACAAGGCAATTTCAGATACCACTTCAAGGCCCTGGACCCAGAGTTCGGCACGGTGAAAGAAGAGGTAAAGCCCTACAGAAGTAAAATAAGATATGCAAAGACTGACTGCTTCATTTTCATAACATTATAGCATGACTCATTTCCATAGGTGAGAAAATGTGATTATTTTAGCTCTGTGTCGTACATTTAAAACACAAGCCTCTCGGAAATGCAAATGCTGGATGTTGGCTGTTCAGGTGTTTCAGGATGGCGCGGTCGTGCCTGGCTGGGAGGGGAAGATTGTAGCGTGGGTGGAGGAGGACCATGGAGAGCGGAGGTAGAGCCTCAAACGCCAGAGATCACCGCTACGAACCTCGGTTGTTCCAGCTGGATCAAGACTCCTCTGAGAATACATGCGATGCCATATGAAGGAGCAGCTATTACAAAACTAACTGGGACCAATGACGATAGCACCTTTGAATTCAAAGGAAGTAAAATGTGAATGTTTCATACCAAGAAATTAACCAGACATCTGACTGCTTTCTTTAATGTAATTCATATCGTCTGCAGCTTGAAGATGAATATGTGAAACTGCAGTTTATTGGTCAGTAAAGCGATACTTGAAGGTCTGGACTGTAAAAATTTTAATTTTACAATAAGGCTGTGATCTGTGCATTGTGTGCAAAAACCTCAATATCAAGAAGTGTTTACTGACATTTTTCACAAGTTCTACGTTGCCAAATGTTGTTGTTGTTGTTCATCTGCATCAACTTTGATGTTTTAATAAAGATAAATTATTGCCTGGGTCATTTTACTAACATTTATTCCCACTTGCAAACAGTAAAGTAATGCAGCTGTTCCAGCAATTCTACACCTCCGTTCAAACATTAGTAAACATCCACAAATTGATATTATAGACAATTAATTTATTGGGAAGGTTGTGGATTAAATTCACTCCTGTGTTTTGTCCCATCCAGCACGTGGTGACAATTCTGTTTTTGTTTCAGAAACGTTTTGAAACCATTTACAGACAACTTGTTTGATGCATTGAATATATGTTTTTACATTTAGTGTATTTTCAGTATCAAGAATCAGTAATTTGCTTAGTAAACTCTGCATTCATTTCTTTACCTATAAAATAGCATTTATCACAAAACATGCATCGTCAAAGTAAGTCTGCGTTTCTTCTTGTTGAAAATGGCCGATGCAGTGTCCTCATTTACAGTTTTCGGCAACTCCAGAAGCAAGTAGTATACATCTTCCACTTCCAGAAGAACGTCTTCCTGAAGAGTGAAAACATGAGACATTTTTTATATGATCCAACTGAAGCCTCCTGGAATAAGTGGTTCATTATAACTTCTCAGGGCAGAGTGTAACTGCTAACCTCGGACACTTGCAGCTGGCACTCTGACATGGAGCGAACCTTTGGCAGCTCCACTGTCAGCTCTACGCTGCGAGGGACTCCCGCTGAATCAGTCTTCAGCTCAAGTTGGTACTCTGGCTTCTGAGGCTCCGCACAAGTGGTGGACATGACCTGGATCAAATTCTTCTTTATGTCCTCTGTAGGTCCACAGATAACTTGGTCTGCAGAGTCTTCATCTCGTTGGTCTGATTGTTGAGATGAGATTTGTAGTAGTAGGGAAGCTGGAGTCTGATTAGCTGTTAAAAGGAGATAAGAAATATATTTTTAACCTTAACTAGATAAATTGAATTTAGGAAATTGGCTAAAAAAAAAACAAGAAGCTGAAATTAGCAAAAAAGTTGCTGAAAAGTAGCTGAAAAGCAGAAAGAAGCTTAAACTACCAGAAGGAAGTGGAACTGAAATGAGCTTAAAAAAAAGCATGGAATTAGCTGAAAAAGTTAAAGCTAGCATAACAGCTGCCGAAATAGCTGAAACTAGTATACCAGTAATTAAGTTGAAAGGAGCATAACTTTAATTATCAGAAATAAGTTAATTAGGCTGAAAGTAGCAGAAATTACTAATATTTAATTTATCTGGCAACTGCTGAAATTATAGAAAATGCTAGCAGCTAGCTGAACAGATAGAACAAGCTTAAATCAGCAGAAGAAAGCAGAAAGAACACTTGTTTGCCCAATTATGCTGAAAGAAGCAGACATGCGCACAGAAAAGTGGAAGTTATCTTGAAAAAAGCCAAAATTAGCAAAAAAAACAGATGAAAAGTAGTTCAAAAGCAGAAGCTGAAATTACAAGAATGAAGTAGGAGAACATTTTTGTTGAACTAGGCTGAAAAAAGTTGAAATGAGTGCAACAAATATGGAATTAGATGAAAAAGCTTAAATTAGCATAAAACAGCTAAATGGTAATTGAAATAGCAGAACAAGCTGTAACTTACAAAAATAAGCTGAAATTAGCAAAAAGAAGTTGGAAGAAGCACAACAATGTTGCAGTTAGCAGAATGAATCTGAAAGGAGCACAGCTGAAAAAAAAAAAAAAACCCAGCTAAAATTAGCTATAAAAAAAAGTTTAAATTTGCACAAGGAAGCTGAACCAAAACAAAATGTGAAAGGAGCAGTAACATGTTGTAAACACATCTAAAGATTTGAAGGATGAGCTCATTTTCTATGAGGAAAAAAAATAGGCAGAAAAGGCTAAATATTTCAAAAAGCTAAAGTTGCACCAATACCAAAAGTCAAAGCAGGATTGTCCTGAAAGAGCTGAACATTTTGATTTATGATTTGTTGAAATGGCACTTGTGGAACGGGAGAGATGTTGAAAAATGTACGGAAGAAAAATGGATCAGTGAGAATGCTTCATGAGCATTCACAGTCACGCAAGGTGAGAAACAAAGACCTACATAAAAGGGTTTGCTCCACATGATCAGGGTCAAAGAAGGGTTTACCTGTTTCTGGTTGTTTAAAGGTGCTGCGCCGCATCTGAAACCCAAGCCGACAGTACAAGTCATCTGGGCTACTTTTTGGGCTAAAGTTGACAACACTGTACTCTGGAGATAGCTGCACTCCATGCTGCTGCTGGGCAAAGCTCAAGGCCAGCTTATAAACACTGGTAATGCCAACTTTATCTTCCTTACTCTCCTGCAGCACTGCAGGATTTAACGCCACATCCAGCACAGCACACCAGCCTGCAGAGGAACAGCTTTGAGTTTCTTGTTTTTGTCATGTAACTCAGTGGACAGTCCTGCGGCTTAAGACACACCTTGACCTTCGACGATGCCCCTTTCCAGTTTTCCTCCACACATCGGTAAAGTGTCATGCGGATTTCGAGGTGCGGGGACACGTTTCCAGCTGCATATATTAATGTAAAGCAAGCCTGGTTCTGGTTCCTGATGAGGACACAGATGTACTGTCAAGGAACTGACAAAACATGACATATTTCATAGCTATTAATATACCAAAGTTTGACAGATTTACAGACATGGCATGTTTCCTGTGAGGAGTCAGACAGCTGTTACAGTCAATCTATTAATCAGCTAAAGAACATTTAGAATCCAATACTTTTAAATGCATCTGCAAAAATTTGCTTCTCATGTCGTATATGGTATGAGAACATCTTGAAGTATGATGCAATTAGTTTTATATCAAACTGTGGGGTTGTATATTTGCTATATATTTTATTTAAATAGCTGGAATCAAACATGGTAATGGCACATAGATGAGTGTTACAATTTTTGACGAACTGTCAGATTAATTGGAGTTTACTCATTTGTCTGGAAACTGAATTCCAGTTTATAGTACCTGTTTCAAACATCCTGAATGTCATTTGTCTTCTCCAAAACCAACATTTCAGACAGAAGAAACTATGCCACTTCTCCTACGTCTTACATAGGAATAAATTCCCAGAGTTTTCCCTGATTGTTGCCTGAGGAAATCCTGGAATTCCAGATCTTTTAGTCACACGAAACATTCAAAACTAAAGTATAATGTAGCCTATGGTACTTTGTACATGCATACAGCAATCATTCCTAATTACTAATTCTATTGTATCACATCAGATACTAAAAAGATATCATAGCCAGTCAGTAAGGATACATCATGTACTATGTACACTGTATAAGCAAAACATGGACTCTGTGATACTAGAATACTAGCAGTACAGGTACACATCAAGTACATGATCAAATCCCCTGAGTTTTCCCTTTCTGGAAGACGTGAAAGTAATTTTCTATGTTTTCCTTGACTTTCAGAGTCGCACCCGTGTGTGTTTTTTTACTCTCTAGAATGACTGAATAAAAAAATCTCACCAGAAGAAAATAATATTTCACATATTCACAACAGCTATAGTCATAATTTTCATTCTACCTTTTTTTTTTTTTTTGGTATACTAGCATTCCAAGTTAATAGATAATAAAAGTAAAGTAACGTAGATTCTTGTAATTACAATGCTTTTCATCAACTTCCAACTACTGATGTCTGAAAGTAATTTTAAACAAGTTTTAATATGAATATCGGTTGACCCCAATGTTTTTATTTATTAATTTACATGACTAAGAATAGATATAAGAAGAATGATTTGAGGTAAATCTTAATTTTTTTTTTTTATAAAAGAAAAAAATATTTACAGATTTCTACACTTCAATGTAAACATGGCCTCTTAACTTAATTTTCAGATATTTTCCTAACACAATCTCAAATGTGAAGATCTTTTTTTAATTTTACTAGTAGTAATGCTGTTGTAGATTAAATTCTGACTAATATCGATTTGACAAGGTGGAAAGCGTTTATGTAAAGAGGAATAAGTGTTGATTATATGTCACAACGGCCTTCCACACACCTTTAATGAAACACCTGTGGCTTCTTACTCACCAGCACGTCAGTCCTCACGCGCGAGTGTAGCTCAGGCGGTGCGGTGAACTCAGCGCCCTTTTTCATTTGTTTTTCTATGAACTTGCGGTATCCCGCAGCGTCATTTTGAGACAAATCATCCAGCATTGACCAAAACTGGTTGACCTGCCGCAAAACATCCTCTGTTCCGCCAGCTGAAGACATGATGATTTCTAGGTGAATGTCGTCCTTATTAGCTTCTCCTAAAAAAACTAAAAAAAAACTAGCTTCTCTAGCTAGTTGGTTTAGCTGTCTCACTAAAAACGCTTAAATTTATGTGTTTAAATGTCAAAACCGGCTTTTATATGCCGCGATGTGTAAAGTTGTTGTTGGAACAAAATATGAAAGTAGAAAATTGAGTGAAGTTCCACAAACCAAACAAACTAGCTAAGTTAACGCCTCAACAACCGCCAAATGTTGTGTGTTGTCATGGAAACTACATTAAACGTTAAAGCGTCGTCCCCTAGTGGAGACAACACGCAACTGCAGCTTAATAATCACCGGACTCTGGGTTCAAATTAAGAAGCACAATTTATTTTTAATACATGAAAAATACAACATAAACATATTTTTATGTTCCCACACTCTAGGTGTACACCATATAACTGACACTTAAAGTATAAATAGAGTACATGGCTGTAGTTTTCAAATATCTCAAACGATCACATCAACAGCATCCTCGTCTTGCTTCTTGTTTTCAGTAATTCTGCAAACACAATGAGTGATCATTACCAATCAGTGTAAACTTTAATTATGCTTTATTGTGCACCATCTTTTCTTATGTGTCGCTGGAAAAAAAAATAGATGTGTGTGTAATGACTGTAATTAGGGTTCTTGGAAGTAATGTAAACAGTTAGGATGTTTTAGTTCAATAGCACATTGAAGAAATCGACTACTAAGACATAACAACTAAGGCTGAAATCTTTTTGAAGAGCAGCGTTTTCATCTAATTGCATTTTGAAAATCAAAATTATTCACTTTAAAGCCCAATGACCCTCGCCAGTGATTGCTTGAGAGATATTATGTTCTCAAAATCAAAGTGGAGCTAATTTAGACTATTTTGGATACTTTTTTTGTATATTAATTTAATGTACTAAAGCTCTACATAGCAAAGTGTACTGCTGCAGTGAAAAGCGGCGTAATAGAACTGAGAATATTAGTGCTTTACTTTCAAAACTGTTTGGCAAGTTGTGGTGACTGCACTGACTGTCTTCTCCAGAACAACAGTAAACCTGTCAGATTCTGCCAAATTTAATTAGCAACTCTAATCCTGCAGGGAATAGAACATCAGCATTATACTACGATTTATGTATTTCTACATTGTTGTTGTTTTCGTTATCTTTACCTCAATTATGTCATAGATCCAGCCCAAAAATTCAGCCACTTTGGTGTAAACACCTGGATGGTTTGGTTCAGCACATCCTGTCCCCCAGCTGACAACTCCAACTAGCCTCCACACATTTTCATCCTGGCAAACGAGAGGACCTCCGCTATCCCCCTGGAGAGGTAGACGCACAAACGCTACACTACAGCTGTGAACAAATATCACATGAAAGGATGAATCCACTTTAAGTGGGCTTCAAAACATGTATCGGACCTGACATGCATCTACTTTTCCCTCTGTGTATCCGGCACAAAGCATCCGCGGCGTGATCTCTCCGTCGTACATGCAGGAGCTGTTGCATTTCTTTGTGCTTATTATTGGAACGGGTGCTTCTTTTAAGGTGTCAGGGGAATGAACTGAAAGACACATTTAAAGAGGTTCCATAAATACAAGTGTAACGCCATTGCTGTAGTAAAGTCTGGACTTGTGCTGCAGGAAAATCTCACCACCATCGGGCTGCGTGTATCCCCATCCTGAAATCCAGCACTGCGTTCCACCTGGGAGATCATAGTCATACTGAGGCAGGCAGATGGGTCTAATTGTATCTAGTTAAAGAAAGAAAATGATTTTGCCTCTTATCACAATAAATCTGACAGGTTACAACATGACTGGATTAGTTTACAAGTTTTACTGTTTAAATCTTTTTACTGTGAAGACTTTTAATCCATGCAATTTGAGAGATTTATGAGAACATTAGTGTTGTGTAGCAGACTTTGAAGCGCACGTGTTGGTGCGCAATAGGGAAAGGCAGACCTGAGAAATTGAGCGGCTTTTGCAGCTTCATCAGGGCGATATCGCTGTCATGGCTTCTGTGGTTGTAGTTTTTGTTGTAGATGATCTTCTCTACAGCGTATCCTGCGTGCTGAGCCACTTTAGCAGAATTACGGGTCACAATGCCAGCATAGACCATCCAGCTGGATACCTGAGGAAGCCTGTAGCTGACATTTTAGAAGAAAAAACAACATAAATGTTCATATAGAGGATTCTGTTCAGTGCTGTGCAGCTGTTAATGGCTAAAGCAGCTATAGCGTCAGAATGATAAAGTCAGCAGTCTTACTTGTGCACACAATGGGCTGCTGTTACTATCCATTGACTGGTGATGATGGACCCTCCACAGGTGTGACGGCTGCTGTAGTAGAGGCTGACCTGCCAGGGCCACCTGCCCAGGGTGGCCTCAACTCCTCCTACTATCCTGGGCAGCTTTGCTCGTGTCCCGCACTCTGCACAGAGATCCATTTATCAGAGCAGGGTTCAGTTTGACGGGTCAGAAGGTGCTGCGGCAAATCCATTCATCCGCTCTGCTCCCTCAAGGAGCTTTTTACAAAAATCAGATAAGAACCACAGGGTTTTTGTGCTAAATGCAACGTCAATCCAAAAGCGAACTTTAATTTGCTCACCGAAACATTGCAAAGCGATAACCTTCCCCGTGATACAGCTCTCCCTAAATGAAAATAAATTGGTTAGCTAATGATGCATAATTAATTTGTTTGTAGCCAAAATTGTTCATGCACAAGTTGAATAATTATGAGCACAATCTCCTCAGTCAAATTGTCTTACCTGACCTGCCACATATTTTCAAGACTGCTCTTTTGCACTGAGGCAATTTGTATAAAACCATCGGTGTGGTTGGGCCCTATGTCTGTTAGATTCACTCCTTTATGCTTGGTCAGTCTGGCAAGAGAGCACCCATAAATTAGGTGGGAGAGAACATGAACATTAGGTTTATAAGACGTAAAACATAACTATATAATAACCCAACATAATTAAGCAAAGCAAGCTAAAATTAAACCTGTACGTTTGTAACACACCTCAGATAGCCCAGCTGTCTGCAGACCAGCGTTCCCAGCGAGGAGTTCCACCTCTCTGAGCAAACCGGCAGCCAGGTGTGCGGTTTCTCCAGCTGGATCTCCAGGAGGGAGTTCTCTGAGCTGATCCTGTAAAACACTGAACCCGATTTATTGAAAATCCCTGCGGAGACGAGCTCTCAATCAACAGTAATGAACAAGCGAGTGGGCAATGATTTGGAAAAAAAAAAAAGAAGAAGCACGTGTTAATACAGTCGATACAAACAGGTGATTAAGTGTGATGTTTTCATGCTAGTCAATGGGAAAGTCTCATTAGTGAAGTGAAAGACAACAAGAAGCAGCTGCTGCATAATAATTCTGCTGCCATTCAACTAAAAATCACTGCAGAGGTGACCTGTGATCCTGTATGGTGACTCACAATGAGATGTGCAACAACCAAAAATTTCCCTGCCTGTTAATTTATTAGGCTGTGAGAGGAATAAAATCTAATGAGGTTCATAAAAAAAAAACCCCAGACCTTTCCTCGGGTCAGAGATAGAAACATCCTCAGTCACGTTGCAGAACGACGTCTCCTTTGTGTCTCCGATCCCGACTGGAGTTTGGGAAGAAGACGACCTCAGCAGAAGCTTCACTGAATGCAGATAAGAAAGACATTAATGAGACTTTTAATTACCCAAGGACACAGGCAACAAAATAGTTTTTTACATGTTGGTAAATAATCTGGATTACATTAGGGAGCAATGAAATTATACTTCAGCGTAGAGGTTGTAATTAATTTCATATCTGAAAAGGCTGCCAAAGAGATTAAAAGCTCATTAAAGCTGCCCTTAATATTATTTATACATATTTATTGTCTACTTGAAAATAATTTTTCAATTTTAATTTGTGTCCATAAAACTGGAGGTATGAGAAACTGGGTTAAAAGGAGAAATTAAGCTGTATTGAATAAATTACATAAATTAAATAATCTTTTAACTTATGAAACTTTTAAATAAATCACAATAATGTATTTAGAATTGGAATCCAAATCTGACTAATTTATTTTTCAAACCGACGTACTGCAGGAAACAAGTTCAGAGCTTTGTGTAAAATAAATGAGAATCATGAATCATATGAACAATTAAACACAGTTTAGTTGTTTTCTGCCGGGGCCAGATGGATTAATTGGCCAGACAACTGTGCCGGTGCTCATTAGACTTTTGCAGTTGTGTGTGCATATATCAGTCTGCACATAAATAACAACAAAGTGCAACACACAGATAAGGTGATGAATAATACATTTCTAAAATTGTCCACCAGGGGGCAGTGACAAGTCTGCTTTTATGTTCAAGTGTGTGTCTGAGGAAGCCTTTCAACAATGCTGAATATTAATAAATATTAAGGAAGAGCTGCATCTTCAGTCAGAATAAGAATAAACTAAAAGAGATTTTTATTAGTATTAATGCAAAACAATCAACACATTTTAAGGATTTGAGTATTTAACTGCATCTCATGTTAAATTAACATTTTAAAGATTTAAAATGAAATTTTAAAGTGCAGTATTACATTTTTAAAGCTTTATTTTCCGGCTCTGTTATCCAGACACTGCACATATGCCTTAGTAGTTCTAATTAGACCCCTTTTAAGCATTTGTTTCCACTTCCAGTCTAGCTAATCCTTTTTAGTCATTCTTTCTCTGGCGCATTGACTCACCTAGAAACCAGACACCTACAGCTAAGCCTCCTAGGAGTCCAACGGCGCACACCGCAGCCAGCAACCTCACTAGTCTGTAGGCTACAAGTGAAAGTTAAAAGTGGCATTAATGCCTCGTCACCCCTGATGTGAGCTGAGAGGAGAAATGAAACATCAACTGTTAGAAATACTGCAGTAAATTCATGGCATCAAGACATATTAATAATTAACTTTATTCTTTTCTTTTATGACAAAACAATTAAACTGTCTACTTGGTGTCCTTTTAAGTTTAATAAAATAAATATTTGTTACTGCTTGATAGACACTGATACGGTGTCACAGGTGTAATTTGATGCCCATCAGGTGATAGCAATGGTTCCCAACACTGGTCTTTGAGGAACACCATGCTGCGTGTTTTAGTTGTTTCCCTGCTCTGACATACCTGATTTTAATTAATGGGTGATTAATAGGTTTCTGCGGAACATGAGGAAGTACCGGTAATAAAATCACTGACTGGTGTGTTGGAGCAAGAAAACAACTAAAACATTCAGGATGGTGTTCCTCAAGGACTAGTGTTGGGAACCACTGCTTTATAGGACCTTACCGTGAGTTGTAGAATGAGCTCCCTTCAACCAGCCCTGGACTCCTTTGGTTCCCACAACTCCTGCTGCAGTTTCTGAGTGAAAATGATGACTGACAGCCACTGGATTTTCAATCACTGACAACGCGTCTCCATCAAGGCTCTATAGGAATTACAGTGGGCATGTCAAGTCTCATTTCAATTCCCTTCAATTAAGTTTATTTATATAGCGCCAAGTCACAACAGAAGTCATCTCAGAGCACACAACAACAACATTCATGTATATATATAAAAGTAAGTTAAAATTATTTATCAGAGGAGCAGACTGTTTTGAGTTTAACTTCAGCACAGATTCTCATCTTGAGCAAGCTTAAACGCAACAGTGGAAAGGAAAAACTCTCTCATGAGGAAGAATCCTTTAGCAGAACCAGGCTCAGGACTAGTGGCCATCTGCTTCGACCGGCTGGGTTTGAATGGAACAGGAAGGAGGAACAGATACACAATGGCAGGTCGAGAATCATGTTAAGATAGAAATAATATCAAATGAAAACTATTCATTTGTAATAATTAATTTAAAGAAATGAGGTCAATTTCCTATAGCAGCATAACAAGCCAACCCTAATTATAGGATTTATCAAAAAGGAAAGTCTTAAGCCCAGTCTTAAAACTGGACAATGTGTCAGCCTCACGGACAGAAACTGGAAGTTGGTTCCACAAGAGAGGAGCCTGATAACTGGAATCTCTTTTGGAAATTCTAGGAACTGCAAGTAAACCTTCAGTCTGAGAATGAAGTGCTCCGTTAGGAAAATATAGGACAATAAGATCTGTAATATAATATGGAGCTAGGTTGTTGAGGGCTTTGTAGGTTAGAAGTGAGATTTTGTACTCTTCTGAATTTGACAGGGAGCCAATGGGCTCTCATTATCTGAATCATTTATGGCTGTTTTCTGTTTGACAAAGTTGTGGCGACTGCACTGACTGTCTTCTCCTGAACAACAGTAAACTTGTCAGGTTCTGTCAAATTTAATTAGCAACTCTAATCCTGAAAATATGACCCACCATTAACCAGTCCAGATGTGTTCAGTCAAAGCTGTAAACATCTACACAGTTTGTGCGTCAGATTTATTTATAGTGACTGAGGTATAATGAACTAATTGAGGTTTTGGCTTGTCTGATTCTTGGCTGATCATTATATTTGAGACTTTTTTTTTTTTCAGACAGATTTTATTACTCTGTGGTGTGTTTGTTTATTGAGCTAACTCTCCAAGTAGCAGCTGTTTCTATTGGCAATACATCGAGCTTATTGTGGTAATTACATCACATTTCTCAATAAATGGGCGGTGCATAATTGATATTTTACAATTACGTTGCAAACTTCATCTACATAAATACCACACCAACTGTTCTGTTCTCGCACTAAAGTGTAGATAATTATGTAATTATGTCCTGCAGACTTGGCATCATTTATATATAACAAGCTTTAATATCGAGTTAAAATTTCCCAACAACCTCATCAATATTTTGTAAAAGAATAAATATGACAAAAGTGTGATTTAAGCTCAAAGTGAAGGTGAAAGGAAATGCGAGAGCGGTGTTGTTATCAGGAGAACTCTAGAAGGAGCAAGGTGTCGGAAGAATTGAGTTTTTATCTCCTTACCATGTTTTCCTTGAGTACAGTCCTGGAGAAAAGCTAGCGGAGCTCCTGCTCACCTGTAGGTCCACAGCGGAGGAATGACGCTCACGGTTCAGGCACCGTTTCTCGTTTAACAGAATGCAACTCTGGATTTTCCCTTCACAAAGATACAATGAGGTCAGCAGCGGTGGAGAGAATGAGGCTGTTGTTCGGCCACGGGGTCATGGGGCCGGTGGATGCAAGCTGAACCAGGTTTTTGTAGGAGGGGATGGGTGGGGGTGGGGGGGGGGGGGGCATCTCCAGAGATACCTGTGAGCTCATTATTGACAGGACACTTGGAGTAGCACTTTCTACCTGTGCCAGAAGATCCCCTTATTTGCTACTGAGACACATTATGACATGACAGTTTTTCATTGGGAGAAAAGGTCGTTATTGCAGATTGTTGAAAAGTCGATTGTTGAAAAGTCTCATTTCTTGCCGATCCCCCAACATTTGAAATCCAAAGCTATTATCTTTCAACACTCAGGAACAAATGAAGTCTGTGCTGTCGGCCTGCTGACAGATGACTCTCCTTTTAACAGCTCTGAGATGTTTTGTTCTCATATTGCTTGGATTTCTTCTTCTGTTTTTAAAATATCCTCATTTGTTTTAAAAACATGTAAAAACTGAGTGGCCATTTACTTTAAAATAGAAGAAATAATTAACTGAGATGTTAAGGCTGAGTGCTGTTTGAATATGGTGAGAAGTATCTAGAACTGAATAGGTGGGGGGTGATCAAAGCCTGCCATCACTTCATTTAATAAAAATAAAATACATTTTCACTTAAAAGACAGTTAATTAGACCCTGTTAGCAAAAGGAGCATGCAATGGGAGTTATTTATGAACTGTATGCCTCATATTTATGATGTGGGATTATCTTGGAGCCAGGTGAGGGGATAATCTGCCAAGAAGAAAATTCCCGTTCATCTAAACGGTAAAGCTGAACCCAACCCAGATCTATTTGGTTCATCTAACAGGTGTCATCGCTGAATTGTTTGGATATCAAACAGAGTAGGCGGCCTTGCAGGAGTATAAATTGCTTGTGATGGAGCAACATCTGAAGTTTGTATCACGAGGCCTGTGAGGTTAATAATATTCGATATTAACTCACTCTTGAGGTAAACAGAAAAACAAAGAGAAGAGATGAGCTGCTGCCTGGAAACAATCACTGCGTTTCAGGTCTCCCTCTTCTGGTGAACGTTCTTGTTTCCCCTTGCAGAGTGAATTAATATTAAAAAGCTGCATTCATTGCGTTGCAAATTATTTGGAGGAAACTAAAGTTATTTTTATTCTGAACTTATGTACCTATTTTTCTAGAATATCAGAGAAAACAGGAAGGAAGGATGACACTGATCCACTCGTTATTTATTTTCACCAAGATGCTTTAAGCACTTAAATTTTCACTGTTCTGCATCTTATTTAATCAAGATTTTAATTACAAGTCGTAAACTGTACAAGTCTTTTGTATTTTTTTATCACTGATAATATTTTATGCCATGATTATTCTATATTTTGGCTGCATTTGGTGCATTTTTGCAGTTTATTCTGGTGCACCGTCGTTTATTGACCTCTATTTTAGACTAAATATTACAAGTGATTTGTCTGCAACAAGAAGGTTGTTTCCCTTATGGTATATTGATCTAGAAATAATTTTAACATGTTGAAAAATTATTGATGCTTGATCATAATGGCATGAAAATATGAATGCATTGTACCAGTTACGGATGTGGATATATAAAATACTAACTAAAAAAGAATGTTATAACCTAGTTACCATGAATAGTCAATTTTTGGATGGTACTGTAGATTTAGGGCAGCATGGTGGCGCAACTGGTAGAGCTGCTGCCTCTCAGCGAGCAGGTCCCCGGTTCAAATCCTGGTCCGGAGGCCTTTCTGTGTGGAGTTTGCATGTTCTCTCCGTGCATGCGTGGGTTTTCTCCAGGTACTCCAGTTTCCTCCCACAGACCAAAAACATGCATGTTAGGCTGATTGGTAACTCTAAATTGTTCCTAGGTGCGAGTGAGAGAGTGAATGGTTGTTTGTCTCGTTTGTCTCTGTGTCCCTGTGATGGACCTGTGACCTGTCCAGGGTGTACCCCGCCCCTCGCACAGTGATTGCTGGACATGGGCACCAGCGACCTCCATGACCCAAAATGGAAGAAGCAGGTAAAAGACAATGGATGGATGGACTATAGATTTAAGAAGGGTGGGTGTAACAATAAGTTTATACTTCTACCCACTTCTTTGAACATGTAAATATACTTTACTACTGTTCCTTTTTTTCTGCTTGATTTTGTTTGAATTTTTTGAAATTTTATTTTATTTTATATAACCTTGTTTATTCTTTTATTATACTATACTACAATCAATAAAGTTAAAGTCAAAGTTAAACTCCCTTATTGGAGATGTGCTTCAGCCTAATGTTTAATGGCTTCATTTGGCTTCAGTAAAGTGAAGCTTCCATCCATTATCTTTACCTGCTTCTTACTTTCCGGGTCACTGGTGACCGTCCAGCAGCCACTGTGTGAAAGTCAGGGGGACACCCTGGACAGGTTGCAAGTCCATCACACGGAGATACTGAGACAACTGAGACAAGCAACAGTCCTCTCACCTAGGGACAATTTAGAGTTACCAATCAGCCTAACGTGCATGTTTTTAGTCTGCAGGAGGAATCCAAGCACCCGGTTGAATAGTTTAATAACAGCTCAGTATACAAATCGCATAATAAATCATTCTAAAGTGGAAGTTATAGTTGTGGTTCAGTTTATAGTTGTGGTTCAGTTTATATCTTTTTGATTTTTGAAACAAATTAAATCTTTTTATCAAAAGAGTGAGAGCTTCAGCTGCTGACTACCTTTATATAAACTCAACTCCATTTCCTTAATAATTACATCTACATTAAATGTAAATTAAAAACTAAATGCAGATGATTTGGACAAAATTCATATAGAAATTAAAAACATCTAACCTTGAAACTAAAATCTGTTTTGTATTTTTATTATCTAAGTGGAATAAGTTTAAGCAGAGTCAACAATATATAAAAGTTGTCACCGTTCACAGTTTATTATGAATATAAACAAGCCAATATGACTGTGCATAAAAACTGGCAATGTACTTGTCCCAGTACAGTTAAAAACTACAAATAAATGAGATTCTGAAACTGTCATTTTTACTGGGTCTGAGTTTTTTTTTTAAGACAAATGAACATAAAAAAACCTGATCTGACGAGATGTTTTTAAACTCTGGAACTGATTTAAATTGGTCTAAAGACCATCCAGCTTTACAGTGTAACCTCAGCTCTTTGTGAGGTTATCTGGAGGTGTAATAGTACACAGCTTGGGCACCCTTTGGTATTTGAATACCCCGTTGGTGATGAACATGTACAGGTTTTGGAGCAACATATTCGGTCATCCACTCAACATAATCTTCAGCAAAATCTGTAGTTATTTAACAACTCAAACGTCATCGAAACATATTAGAACCACATTTCTCTGGAGGAAAAGTCCAGCTGCTCAGCCGTCTACTGCCCAGACTTCTCACACTTTAACATTTAAATATTCTTGGCTCTGCGTTGATGAGATGTAGACATGTTGAGTCAAAGAAGAAAAGGAACAATTCAAGTTCAAGTTCAAGCTTCTTTATTGTCATTAGCACCACATGTGGTACATGAGGTGGAACGAAATTGTGCACACAGAGTCCCAGTTACACCCAACAAGAGCAAAAGTATAAATTGTAAAAGCAGCACAAACATGAGTGTGTGAGTAGATGAGTATGAATGAATACAGCAGCATGAAATAAATCAGCAGCATGAGATCAGCTGCATGGATAATCAGCAGCACATATTACCAATCAAAGTGGCATTACAGTGATTTGTTTCAGTGATAATCCTGATTAAGGATTCATGAGTCTAACAGCCTCAGGGTAGAAGCTGTTCCTCAGTCTA